TGAGCACAAGGTGTCCGCACGCAGCCTGCCTTCTGTGCAGAAGGGCTTCACCCTGTTGGCCTAGCATTAAAAGAAACAATATTTGCGCAGATGAAGGGACAGACAGCCTCATCACGCAGCCAGCGGAGGAATGTGGGGACTAACTCACAACTCTCCGCTTTTATTCCTCCCCGGAGGGGCTGGGGTTCTTTCTGAGGGCGTGTTTTGCTAATTATAGCCTCGGCTTCAATGAGATTCCTTCACTCCCCCAATCGGTTCGCAGGTGACTGTCTTATCTAGGGACTCTCGTTGTCCGTGCCCTGGCTACACACCCTGCGAACAATCACCTCTCCGACGTCTGAAAAGAGAGCGAGCGCTCCAGTTCTGCTGAATGCACGTCTCAGTTCATCCAAGGCTGGCGGGCTTTTGATGGCCACAATACAAGTTACGCCCAAAGAGTGTCTCTTTGGTCAGATCGACAACGCTTGGCTTCACGTTTGCAAGTTAAACGGGCAGAAACCCGGCTGAAACTCCCACGCCAGACGCCGGGACGCTCCCCTCTGCCCTGCTCAGAGCCGAACTGGGGAATAGGTTTGGGCAGGGGGAGAAATGAAGGAAGGGGGGGGGGGGCTGGGGCAGAGTCCCGATTCCCAGCCGCCCTCTAGAACAAGGAGGGGGTACCGTTTTCTCTAGTATGTCTCTCATTTTTTTCCATTTTGCTTTGTTGGCAAGCTTTACTTAATTTTTTTTTTAAATGAGTGCTTTCTCCTTCAACTAGGTAACTGCTTTCCTTCAGCCCCTGAAAATGTGACTCCATAAAATCAAAATTTATGATTATTCAAATGTTGGAGACTGTGAAAAGAGAGGAAGAAAGAGAGAAAATTAATATTGCAGCTGTTCTTCTGATTAATGAGAGATAATTGCTCATGAAAAGTCACCCCTGTGGCATTTTGTTGTCTCCTGGATCTTTGTTCTTTTCCACTATTATTGAGGACTTTCTTGAAGACTAAGCGGTTCTTTTCAATTTTGGGGTATTCAGAAAGGGTTGCCTGGTTACAGAGAATGGGGAAATCTCGGGCTATATCGGGTAAGATGTGCCACAGACAGCAATATCACAATGCCACTCCGAGAAAAGGATGGATACAAGTTAACGATGCGCTTTCAATAAAACATTCATAGACTTGTTCACGCTTTGATAATGGCCTCATTAAAGGGAGCTGGGGGCAAGTAAGTCCTGTCTCCTGTTTGTATTCGGCTAACAAAACCCAGCTTTGAGATCATTCATCGCTTTGGAAACTAATATGAAATCAATGTAAGAGGAGCAAATAAATCCGAGGCGGCCCCGCCGACTCCCGGGCTGTCCCGCCCTGCTCACGGTCTTGGTTAGGGGCAGGAGAACCATGTGGACAAACCCTGAAACTGAGAGGGGAAAAAAAAAAGAACTAGGAACGGGGGGTGACGCTTTGGGGGGCGCAGAGGGAGGGGCAAAGTGGGCGTTACAGCCAAAAGAACCGCGGAGCGCGGCCACGGGTCAGAACTCCGGAGCCTGTTGAAAAAGCCCCGCTAAGTCCCCGCCCTCTGCTTTCTCCGACTTTGCCCTTGAAGGAAAAAAGACGGAGAAGAAGAGGGGATTGTGGGGTTCAGGTCAGGTGTGATCCCTGATTGAGGGGGGGGGGGTAAAGTTCTGGAAGACTTTTTGAAATCTACAACCAAGAATTCAGATCTCAAGCTTAAGCTGGGAGGGGACTGCTCACCCAGGCTCAGGCTGGAGAGTCCGGGGGCAGAGGGCGGCACCTCCGAGCTGCTTTGATATTTTCCCCCAGTTCAGGGTAGGGGTGGCTTTCCAGGCTGAGCGGGGGGTGGGGGGGAGTGGGGTGTGTGTGGGGATGAACGGGGACAGTTTTGTTACCTACGCACTTGTGACATTGCCTTGTACTCAAGGAAGACAACACTATCCTGTCATCCCGAGCAAAAAGGAGGAAATCAAAGGATGCCCCACTAAAAGAACTAATTTTCTCCTTGAATTATGAAAGTAATGGCTTAGGTAACAGCCTGTACTCTGTACCCGACTGCTTAATACCGAATAAATCCTTCCACGTGGCTCCCCCAGTTGTGGCAATTAGAGCTCATTATAGGCTCATAAGAGCTCTCATTTCAGGGATTACTTAATGGATGATGAAATTTTATCGGACAGAATCAGTGAGAAATAAAATTGTGCAGCGGTGGGGGCACCATGGGGGCTTACCAACATCTTGGGGGGCGGTGGTGGGCTTCTGCTCTGAGCTGATTCAAGGTGCTGCTGTCCTGGGGAAGGTTCTAGCTGGCCAGGAAGAGCTGCAAAGCTGCCTCGGGCCATGGAGGGTAGGCTTTCTTGGGAGGGGGTGGTAAGGCACAGGGAGGCCTGCTTCTGAAGACCCGGCTGGAGTGGAGGAAAGGAAAGACAGACAGACAGATGGGGAGGACACTGAGGGATCCAAAGAATGCTAAAGAGAAGTCTAAGAAGAGAAAGACTGTAATATGGAACATGACCCCCAAGTACATGTTCTTATTGGGCTCAAGCAATTAACCAAGTACCCTAATATGCAAGTTTCTCAGACATGGTCTGGTTTTGGCGTCAGTCTGGCCCAAGCTGCTGCCCCCCTTGCAGCCCTAAGCTCTCACCCGGTGAGCCTCACTTTTTTCAAAAATGCCTTAGCACTTCAACTTCAACTGCACGTTTCCACAGCCAGGTATAAACTGAATTAGATGCTCAAGGTTTGTAATTAGAATTCTCCAAAATGAAATGGTCCTCCTATAAGCACAAATCCCAGCACATTAGTGTAGGAATTCTTCCTGTGAGCACACCCAGAACTGCTGGGAACACTGACACCCAAAACTTCAGCCCCAAATAGATTTTGGATTAACTTCTATGTAGCCCAGAGGAGAAAAATGAGAGATGCATATACATTTGCAAAGTGAACAAGTAATATATATTTTACATATACTATTTTATAATATATATATTTATAATATAGTATATATTATAAATATATATATTATATATATAATAAACTTGCAAAGTGAATGGGGATATTGTGTCATCTATTTGGATAACTGAAGTCCGTAAAAAACACTGTCACTAAGCCTCTTGATGATGAAGCTCCCAGTCTTCTTTTGGGGGCCGAAATGACCCCAGGGATTGCCTGGGTCCTATCAGTTTGAGTGAGGTTGGACTGGACCAGGCAGAGCCAGGTTCAGGCTAAGCATCTGCAATGGCTGCACCGATAGACCTTGTGGTACAAAAGTAGTTACAGCTGAGTTGCCCAAAGTTAAGCCCTGAGACTCCTTAATTGTTGTCACAAGATGTTGGATTAGCACATTTCTGGAATAGCTGTCTGTTTACACTCTGGAGACCCACCGTCCACTAACCACTTTCTAATTGAATTCTAATCACATTCAAATAGCTCAATAACCAGCCTCAGCTGCAATTCATAAAACTTTAATTGCCATCCATAAATCCTGGGCTCCCCAGAGCGGGGCATCCCTACAACTCAATTACACTTCTCTAGCAGGCAAGAGAGACTGTCACAGAGATGGAGAGGGGGAAAGGAGAGACAGAAGGACAGAGGACAGAGAGACAGCCATGGCCCCAGCTGAGAAGCTGGTGCTTCCCTAGGATTTGGGCACTCGCTTCTCACAGGTGCAGGAAGTCCCGTCCCCAAGTTTCTTAGCGCCGCCGTGCATTTAGGCCTAAAGTTAGTTGTTCAGGAGAAAGGATCGGATCTGTAGTTGTTGCTCACCCTCCCTACTCCAGACACATTTTCTACAGGGATAAGGAGAGAAAGCAGTCACCTCGCCTTCCCAAAGATCAATAGCCCCTATCCTGGCAGCCACCCTTTCTCACATAGCCACTCGGTCCTCCACTGGACCCTGTGCCACTCAGAGATTTCCTTTTCCAAACCACTTCTCCCACCAGAGGCTGGATTCCTCCAATGGCTCAATTTCCTGCAATCTTTTCGGGCTTTTAAATGAGTGCAGAGGGATTAGAGCTTTCTGGTTAGTCTGCCAGCTGCCCAAGTCTGTGAACCGCAAAGGGGCAGGAGATGGGGAGAGAGGGACCCAGAGCAAAAGCCTCCCCAACCCTTGCCCAGTCTCCAGTGGGGCCAGGGCTTGAGTCCTCTCTCAGGAATCCTTGGGTGGAGTGTATGGGCTTGCCCTGGACATGTACTGGTGGAGCCATTTGTAGAAAGAAAAAAAAAGTGACTCTTCAACATCTCTCTCTGCCAAAGGGGGAGCTGCCGGGCAAAAGGGGAGGGACACAAGGAAGGGTCCTTGATCTGAGGAGCCCCCAGTGCAAAGGCGTTATAGAGCTTCTCAAGAATTGGATTGAAAAGCTTGTCAGCTGGATGGCCTCACTCTTACTCCCAGGATCCCTCAGGAACTAGCCACCTAAATGACATGAATGACCTTGGTCAAGTCCAAAAGCTGGAGGACTGAGTCTGTGCGTATGTGTGTCCTTCGCCTAAGCCGAGCTCCGGGACCGGGCTGCTGCCAGTTCTCTGCCCGCATCCTGCCCCAAACTGCAGGCCTCACACTTTATCGCGCCTCAGTCACGTCTGGCACAGAGGACCAGGGAACACTGGGCATCCCCATTCAAAAGGTCTCAAAGTTCCCACCTGGTGCGCTTTGCGGCCAGGCTCCGGGAGGAGTTGGGCTGGGGCCCGGGCTTGAGAAGGGTGGGATGGAGGATGCCGTTCTGATTTCTCAGGAAAGCGTGGAGAAAGAGGGGGAGGAGGCCGGCCTCCCCGCGAAATTAACAAAACCTACACTTTTCAAAGTCTCCCCCACCCCCCTCCTCGGAGTTATTCCCTGCAGCGCGCCCGCCCCTCCTCGCGGCTTCTGTTGTGACTCGGGCAGCCTATCCCGAGGGTGGGGAGCTGCCGAGGAGCCTGAGCCGAGCCGTACTCAGCAGCATCACGTGCTGGGGTGGGGGCTATAAAATCCCGGAGCCGGGGCTCCGGGCGGGGGACGTGAGGATCAGCCCTCTCCAGGGACCCCTTTGTTCGCAGCCCGGACGCAGACACCCCTGCGTCCCCGAGGGCTTGACCGCCCACAACCGCGCCGCGCCTAGGGCAGAGCTCTGATCAGGAGAGGGGAGGGGGCACCGCAACCAGCCGGGCCCTCCAGCCACGCACCCATCTCGACATGTCGCGCTCCTTCTATGTCGACTCGCTCATCATCAAGGACTCCTCCCGGCCTGAGCCCTCGCTGCCTGAGCCGCACCCCGGGCCAGATTTCTTCATCCCGTTGGGCATGCCGTCCCCGTTGGTGATGTCGGTGTCTGGGACCGGCTGCCCATCTCGCAAGAGCGGCGCGTTCTGTGTTTGCCCTCTCTGCGTCACTTCGCACCTGCACTCCTCTCGGGGACCGACGGGCTCCGGCGGCGGGGGCGCAGGGACTGGGAGTACAGGGGCCGGGGGTGGCAGGGCGGCGGGCGGCGCCGGGGCCTTGCCCCTGCTCAAGAGTCAATTCTCTTCGGGTCCTGGGGACGCACAGTTTTGCCCGCGCGTGAGCCACGCGCACCATCACCACCACCCGCCGCAGCACCACCATCACCACCACCAGCCCCAACAGTCTGGCTCTGCTGCTGCCGCGGCAGCTGCGGCAGCAGCGGCGGCCGCCGCGGCGGCCTTGGGGCATCCGCAGCACCACGCACCTGTCTGCGCCGCCACCACCTACAACGTGGCGGACCCGCGGAGATTCCACTGCCTCACCATGGGTAGGGCGGGGTCTTTGGGCACCTGCGCACCGCGCTTTCTCAGGTCTCGGGAACGAACAAACTTCGCCTACTGTGGAGGAAGTGGGAGCCCGGGGGGCGGGGTGGGGTGGGAGGAGGGGCTTTTAGTGTAACTGTGAAGTGGGTCCAAGAAGTTCTACGAAGGTGGAAGTTAGCTCGCCAAACTCTCCAAGCAGCCTAGTGCACCTCATTCCTGGTATCTGGTTCCCAAGTATTGCGTAATATAGGGGCTTTAGAGACTTCGAACCTGAGGACCAAGAAACTGGATGTTAACTGGCTGAGGTTCAGAGTGGGCGTTTGAACTTAAGTGTGGCATTGGGCACCAGGACTGGCTAAAGCTTTCCATACTTTTGGCTGAGCTTGACTGCCTCTGCCTCTCAGCTAGGCCCGAAGGGGGAATATCTGACTCTGCAAACCCCAGTCCCCTTGAATCCTCTGACTTGAGGTCCCACACGTCTAAGGCCTTTAGTTGCTGTGGGCGTTTCTACCCTTCTCAGTTAAGTAAGGATGTGCTAGGAAATAGGAAAGCGTGCAGGATGGACACAGGTTACTTGTTTAAGCTTCCCGGGCGGGTCCTCGAGAGACGTCTTTTCCAAGGGATGGCACGTGGGGTGGGAGCGCATTTCTCGAGAATGACCTCTCTGCCCTCTCTTAACCCGTGTGCAGGGGGCTCGGACACCAGCCCGGTACCCAATGGCAAGAGGATGAGGACGGCGTTCACCAGCACGCAGCTCCTGGAGCTGGAGCGGGAATTCTCTTCCAACATGTACCTGTCTCGACTCCGGAGGATCGAAATCGCCACGTACCTGAACCTGTCAGAGAAGCAGGTGAAAATCTGGTTTCAGAACCGCCGGGTAAAGCATAAGAAGGAAGGGAAGGGCGCGCAGAGGAACAGTCACGGGGGCTGCAAGTGCGTCAGCAGCCAGGCGCATTACGCGCGCTCTGAGGATGAGGACTCCTTGTCGCCGGCCTCGGCCAACGAGGACAAGGAGATCTCCCCTTTATGAGGGAGGGTCGCCTTCATCTTCAGCTCAGCGTCTCCGGGAGCCCCCACAACGCTAACGCGGCGGGCACCCAGGGGTCAATATCCTTGCCCGTTCCGTGGTCCCACCTGGAGAAGGACGAGTGGAGCGTTCCCAGGGCGTGCATGCTGGGTCTGACCCTTCACATCTCCTCCTTGACCTATTTGTTTAAGCTCCACTCTCAGTAATAGATTTTTTAAAAATGTACATAATCTAGATTCTACTCGGTCGTGTCACATAACAGAAAAAACAGGGTTGGTTTAAGTTTAGCACCGTATGGGGTTTTATTATTTGAGAGCGTGCCGTTTTCCCTTCCCTGCTGTCTTTCAGAACCTGATAAGAGCACCGGGTTTCTTGATGCATTTCCTGTTGTTTTAAAATAAAAGTATTCAATTGAGATTGATTTAGAAAAGTAAACCCTGTAGGTCTTGCTTCCTGAAAATTTACCTGGGAAGAGTTTAAAATCCAAGTGCTGAAAGTCCCTTTTTCTGTGAATAGTTTTATATAAAATTTATATTTATATTTATTTAAATAAATGAAACAAAATCGAGGTTCTGAATTCATGGTGTTTGCTGTCCCATCTAACCCTGCGCCCACGGACAGAGAAAAACGTGTGAATTTAGATGGTCTTGTGGGTCTCTTGGTTGAAGGAGTTTGTGGCTCTGTAGGATTTCTGTGTAGCAAACTTCTGGCAAGGAGACACCTTCAGTTATGATGCCACCTACCGAGTAGTGACTCCCCGCCCTCGAAGCAGCAAACCGCCTCACAGTTGACAGGACAATCACTCCGTTTAAAGTGATGCCGACAATGAATGACAGGCAAACCTTTTAATCTCCTTAGCAAGAAAAGGTGAAAATCCCTTACCTAGTATTTACCTTCTGCGGCAGTACCCTCCTTGTTTCTTCTTCCTCATCACTCTTAGTACAAAAAGCTGAATTATGTGAAGGAATTTGAAGAGTTGGAATAGTTTTTGGAAGAGCAACAACCCATCAAAGCAGATTGGAAGCAAACATAGAAACTTACCAATGATGCTGTTCAGTGACTAGAAAACTTAACCACTCCTCATTGTTCCTCTAGCTGAGAAGTTAGCTGGTTTTCATCAATGCCAAGAAAACAATAGGTCAGGGACAGGGAATTATTCTGTCTAATGATTGACATTCTCACTTTCCCAGAATAGCTCAAAGATGCACTTGGACTCTCGTTTCTAGTTTTTTTCTCGTCTCCCTGACTTTACCCTAAATTGTCTCCTTCCTAGTCCCTCTCTTCCCATCACCTTGCAGAGCTAACTCCTGCAAGCCTGTTCCCCGAGGAGACTGTGGCTGTGCCCTCAGCAGGTCAACCTGGCGCTCTCCTCGGTGCTGCCAGGTCCTGTCATCTAAAAGGGAAGCGAAGCTGGAAACATGGAAACTGGGAGATGCCCTTTTCCGCAAGCGGAATCTCACACGTACCCACTGGCGTTGTTTCTGATGATTTTCTGTAAAGAGTCCACCAAGGAGGTCAGACCGTAGGAACTTTTTACAACACACATACACGGACTTCCAGGTCTGACTGACTTTAGGTCGGTCATAACAGAAAGCTCTCCAGGTGGGCTTGGGGCTCTAAGACTGAGGTCTGGAAGCTAATTTGGGAAGGAGGAGAAGGAAGGGAGAAAGTAACTGCGGTTTTCCCTTCCCAGAGTCTGTCTGTCTGTCTGTCTGTCTCCCCCCTACCCTTCCTCTCCTTCTGCCTCTCCTTCTCTCCCTCCTCCCTCTCCTCCCGTCCCCGCGCCGCCGAAAGAAGATCGCCCTTCCAGACACCGGAGACCGGTCCTTGTTCGAATTCGGGTGCCGGCCGAGCCTGGCTGGGAGGAGGAGAGACCAGACCGCACGGTGTAGAATTGAATGCGAGCGGACGCGGCTTGGGGCCGCGACTCGGGCCTGGCCCCGTGCAGAGGTCACTGGCCTCCGGCTCCTTTCTGCCTGGGTCGGAGGCCTCGGCCTCCGGTCTCTCTCGCGCGCAGAGCCTCGGGGCCCTTGCGCTGACCGCCGCGAAGAGGAGCGGGCGCCGACCCGAGGCCTTTCCCGAAGACCCCGTCCCCTTCCTTTTCAATGAACAGGCCTTTCGAGGCCCGAGTATGGGGGTGGGAAGAAGTGAATGTCGAGGAGCGAAGAACTCGCGTTTAAGAAATTCCTTTTCAGGAAACAACGAGAAGGATAAAGAGGATCTGCGGCCGCTTTCCACCCTCCTGCCCAAAACTAAGCCTCGTCTGGGCGTTGGGCGGCCACGTCCTTCGTCCTCCCATCCACCCTCCGCGGGTCCCTCCGTCGCCCCGGCGCTCGAGCCTGGCCTCCCGAGTCCGTGCCTAGGCGAGACTGAGATCTGCGCCCCGCCTGGCTCCAGGCCCTGCGGCCAGAGCTCACAGCCATCACTGACCACACCCGCCGCTGCGCCGAGGGCCCAGCTCCACCGTCCCGCCGTAGCTTGGTCTCAGCCCCTCTCCCTGCTGTCTTAGAGGATATTACTAAGGAAATAGAGAATAAACAATAGATTCCCCAACCAGAAGCAAAAGATTCATTCCAAGACACCCGCCTAGGCATGGGGTTTGCCGGGGGGTGGTGGGGTGGGGGTGGAGGGGATGAGGCGCGATAGGAGCTGGGGGAGAGGGTCTTCCTTGTTCTAGGACATTTGGTGCCCAGGGGACCTTCTTGTCACCTTCAGGGTGAACCATAAGGTCTTGCGTACTAGAGTGAATTTTTCATCGCTTTGGTTCAGTAAATGTTTTTGAAGTTTGCACATCAGAATAAGGCTTTGGAAATAAAAGGCCTGCTTTAAAAGGCCTACAGTTTCACCTGCGGTTGACGACACCTGTGCCAACGCTCCAACACCCAGATACTCTGCTAACTGATCTCGCTATCAAACGCCCCAAGTGAAGTGTCTCCGGATTATTAAACAGAAATATTTAAGATGCGTGGAGTCGTCCTTGACAATTTTTCTACCTGCAAAGCACTAGATGCCCCATCTTGAGAAACAGAACTCTATTTCCACAAAACATGGCCTCTGAGGGGCCTTTAGACACATAAGGGAAAGAGAGAAAGAGGATGAAAGGCAGAATTAGGTACCAGGACCTTGCTCAATTAAGAGAGAAGGAATGAGCAGCAGGAGTCATTAGTGTGGTTGAGTCGCCTCTTTGAGAAGAAGTCCTGTGGTAGCTTGGTAGCTTTAAACAGGAAAAGAGTGGGGGGGGGGCAGCAGGAAGGATGACTTCTTGCCCTGCGCCCTGACCCAGTGCAGACATTCACAGAAAAGAGGGTGGGCAGAGACCTTTCCCCCTCACCCACCCACCCAGGGACCAACACACACCCAAGGCCAAGGGTCCAACACAGGTAGTGGCAGTTAGCGAGACTTCTTGGTTGCAAAGCATGGTCAGGATAGAAGGGACCCAGAAAGCCACCCCTAGATGTCCGTGAGCCCAAGTGATAGAGACACTGGTGATGATAGACGCCCTCCCCCCCACCTTATGCTGAAGTGGTCAGCACAGCTTAGTTCCCACCCACCTCATTCCTTCAAGGATACCCGAGAATATTTCAGGGCAAAGTAAAACTTGGGATGTGAAATCTTTGATGTCTGGCTCCCTCCTCCCTTCCTTCACCCTTCCTTCCCACCAACCCTGCCCTTTCATATCTGATCAGGATTAGAAATGCAGTTTCTCTGGCCCAGCCTGACTGTGGTCAGGGAATTGCTAGAAAGGTGCTTGCTCTAACTAAAAGAGGTCACAGCGGGCAGCAGGGGCTTTGTGTATGTGTTGTACACGCATGCGCGTGTGTGTGTGCATGTGTAGCTGTGTCTGTGAGAAAGAAAAATAACTCTGTTGGTGGTGGTCACACTGTGAAAAGAGAAGAGTTATTTTCACCAGTGTTCTTTGTTTTTTTGTTTTTCTTGCTTCCACCTTTCCTGCAGGTTCCACTATTTTTCATGGTGCTCCTTGGGAGATTTCTTTGAGGGAGGTGGGAAAGCGCTCAGAGCTGGCTTGGGGGGAGGAGCAAAAGGCTGAACAGTGAGGGGGGAGACTGGGGAGAGCTCCGCGTTGGATCTCAGGCCGAGCCTTAAGGACGTGAGAGGGGAGGAGTATGACACTTCCAATAGGAGCCATTCGCTGGAGGAAATTGGGTTTAAAGGTGCAATCACTGCTTTAAAAGGAGCTCCCCCATGCTCTCCAAACACAGCCTAACACTCTCCTCAGCCTGAATGCAGCTCGGTGCAGGAAAGCAATTGTTCCTGTCTTCATTATTCCTAGGAAATCTTTGTATGTACCTGTTAAGGTGACAGAACTCTGAAAAGAAAACACTTTTTTCTATGTGATTAAATGGTACATCTACTAGGTTTCTATTAACAATTCAATATAAATCTATTTTATAAATTTTTAAGCCTAACATTACAGAAAATTGAGCCTTTCTGGGGGAAAAAACCGCCTACATCTCTTCCCTAAATTAGATGGAATAGAATCCCAAAACTTGCTATTCTAAGTCAACTGGAAATATTAAAGTAGAGGAATCTTTTGTATTGCCTTTTATTAGTGGTGGAGGCATGAAGAAGAGAGGCAGCATGTCGCACAGAAAATGAGAAATTCCACGGGGACGCACCCAGGGCCCCTACCCTCAGGGCCCCGGCTGGGAGTGAGTTACACAGGCTGGGACTGGGGGGGGGGCAACAAAAATGGGAATTTAGAGACATCTCTTAGGGATAGAGTGGAATCAGAGCTCAGATGAGAAAATACTAAAACCAAACTTCACTCATATTTGGAAGCAAGTTTATCCTGTTCAGGGAACGAAAATCTGAAGCCTGAGACCTCACAGCCCTGAAGCTACTCCGCTTAGAGGTAGATATCCCAGTCTGTTCCCGTAGCTGGACTCCTCGTTCTCAAGTGCACCCTCCAAAATTCTGGGCATCCGATTGTCTCTGAAAAGTGTTTTGTGCGCCCTTCTATTGATGTCAGTGCCGGCTCTTCCACTCAGCTTCAAGCTGAGCCCCATGTTTTCCTGACCCTTTGTGGTACCTTTGTTGAGCCTTCCAAATCCCAAACTCAGGAAGGCCCCGGGACTCCTCTGAGTGAATCCCGACAGATCGGAAGTGTGTGCTGTGTGCTTAGGAAAGTAACTAGTTTCAGATTAATGAAGCAGTGACAATTTCAATCTGCTTAAAGGCGGAGGTTGGCACTGCCCAGGCCTGAGCGTGGGGAGCTCGCCAGGCTGGGCTTTATATTGTCCGCTTTTCTGAAGAGCAGACAAAGATGGATAGAGAGACATTGAAAAGCAGGGGGCGTATTTCAAACAGCCCCATAAAGAGGGCTGTCACTTTAAGACAAGAACCATAGTGCTTTGATGACTTTGTATTAGCTGCACCATTTCAAATAAGAAACTCAAGTCTCTAGTGAGAGGGAGGGAAAAGGAGAGCGAGAGAGAAAGAGACAGGGAGAGATGGCAGAGAGAACAG